ATACATCTGACTGCGTATCCTGTCAGCTCACTCTGCACTCTGCACCCTCGGGCGGGGAAGCAAATCTGCAGCTCCTGTTCGTGCCTATTGTCTTACAAATAGCAGGACACCTCAGCCCTCATCCTGCATATGCATTTGTCTGGGTTACAGATGCCAGGCCTGATGCCGGGAAGTGCTGAGCTCTCAGCTTCCCGCAGGGACCAGGCATCACTAGATCCTGGGAGCACTAAGAAAGAAGTACCCCTAGAGTTAATGCTAGATTTTAAAAGAAAAATAATCCGAGATTGACCTGAATAAGGCTCATTACTTAAAAATAAATAAGATGTATACATTGCTACAGTCTCAATGAGAGCTTAAGGGCAGCTGTTTTTTCCTTTAACCAACTTAGCTGGGTTTCCACAAGGCAACAGATACTGTGACTCCATTTTCTCCAACAGTTGGCTAAAATATGAGTATAAAGCCACATACTCCTTAGGCATAGGTAAATCTGATTGATACTTTTTGTAGTGTGCTTATATTAGAAGGATTTGTAACTCCAAGTAATAGGAGGAAACACTGTAATTTACTTGGTGGTTTTTATAGTCAAATCCTAGTCCATTGTGGAGAAGACTGTATATGTTGCTATGATATAAATACTGACTAGAAATATTTATCCAGAACAAAAACAGAGACTGCATGACATAGTCTTTAGCACAGTTGGTTATCAAAGTTGTTCTCCAGCTGCTCCCTGTAGGGGGAATTCTCCCTGCACCCAGGCACAACCACACACACATCCACATAGCTAGTCATTTTCAAGTGGCCTTTTTTCCTGCACTCAGAGCTCTTTCTCTGACTTCAAGGGGTTGAACAAAGTGCCCCTATTAACCCCGTGTCACTCCTTATTGTCAGAAGTGAGCTCAGCAGCGCTGGAATAAATCAGTAAATATATCAGGTTGAAACCTGAGTATTGGGAAACAAGTTTGAGAGAACAGATCTGCCAGGGTCAACTGCGGGCTAGAGAGCACAGACACAGCAGTGATGTACAGAGGTGTTGGGTTTTAGAGAAGAGATCCATCAACACTTAGAGGGGTAGGAAAAGAATCCCGGTTTAATCCAATGCTTTTCTTCACAAGACCCTCATTCTCTCATAGTTCTGACACTCTTTGTCAAAAGGGAACCCCTCAGATTTTCACATTTGGAGAAGCGATTATAAATGTTGCTACTTTTTGCATATAACATTTTTCCTGTGGAAGGGAAGTCATGTTTATACACTCCATCCAGGTATTTGTACTGGGATGCTAGTAAAACTGTTTCTGAAATGCCAAGATTGCAGGAAGGGTCATGTAAACTGTTCATGGGATAAGTACTTATGGTGAGTAACAGCAAATGTGTCTCATGATAGAAAGTAATTGCATATCCTCTGAACAATATGAAACACTGTGGAGCAAGTTACTTCCAGAAAGACTGTGATTCTTCAAAAAAAGTGAGAAGCGGAAGAGTGAAAACGTAACATGAGAAAACTACAATTTTGTAAAGGAAAAAATTGTTTTCATTTGAATTCTGCAGAAGCAATCTTCCTAAATACATTCTGTACTCGATGGTAGCACTGCCATTAATTATAGCAGGCCTGTATTTTTTAAGCTTCTAGCTATTGATCCCATTAAAAAAAATATCAAAATCCCTTAAGCACATATTTCTGAAGCATCCGAGAACGTTTGTGTGCAGCTACATCGAGCCCATCGCTCCCACGATGCTCCTAAGTCACAGTCTTCCTTTTTGTTGATTCCCATTACATTCGTAGGACGCTTGCTGGAATAAAAGGAAACGCAGAGCTATATGAGGGGGAAGAAGTGCGGCGCGCCCTGAAGCCAGGGCCAGCCAGGCCGACCGGGAGAGCGGTTATTCCCAAGGGGACCCGCTCGAGTCGTCCCAAGGTTTTATTTCAAGGACTCCCTTCAGGGCGGCACCTCACAGTGGTCGCGGGGCGCTGCAGTGGCGGCGCGGAGCCGGCAGGGGGCGGGC